CTATTTTTATTAATTTCATTAATTATAAAAATTTTATTATATTTATGATTAATTTATTACTTTCTTATTATCTATAATTATTTCATTTTATATTTGCAGTTGGCAAAATACGTACCTTCTTTATACTACTAAAAATCTTTTAGTTTTAAAGGTACAATCAGTATCAAAATAACGTGCAATAAATGAGCTTTAATAAATAGGCAGAATACATGAAATAAACTTTAAACTAGCATATTTTAAATAATTGTTAGTTTAAATAATGTGAAAAAAAAATTGCATTACAATTAAAAAAAAACCGCTTTTTCAATTTTATTTGGTTATGACATTATTTTTCGAAATTGCAAACTTATACATTTTAATAAACAAAATTGTACGTTAGCTTTTTAAAAAAACATTATTTTCTTCTCTTTTATAATAATTTTTATAATAAATTACAATTCGCAACACAAATAATACAATATATTTTTTTTTCAAATTTAATAATTTATCTCTTTTTAGTAAATGATATTTTCAATCGCTGTGTTATATTGAACTAGATTTGGAAAAGAATTCTCTGCAATTAATTTTTTGCCTTTTATTACCCTCTTACATTAAACCCAACTCAGAAGACAAGGATGCCAAGTAGTCGTACTTTATTTAAGAATTTCGTGCTAGTGTTTTTAGTTACACAATTTCACTGTTGTCGTTCTGACCATAAGGTCACCCAATCAGCCGTGGATTACTTGCAAGAAATGAAAATAAAATTAGAACTGGCAGATGAAAATGCTCCATTAGTAGCAGCTGATAAGCAAAAATCCTCAATAAAAGATCTTCAGTTAGAAAGTTTGACATAGGTGATCAAGTTGTGCTATTGATTCCAGATTCCAATAACAAAATATACGCAAGATGAAGAAGGTCCAGAAGTGATAGTTCAGCAACATCATCCCCATTCATATAAAGTGAAACTACCTGATGGAAGTGTGAAACATGTTCACGTGAATAAAATTCGGAAGTATCATCCTCGATCTCTGGCTGTGGGAGTTACTTTTGAAGAAGACAGTGACTTTGGAGAGATTCATCCATGTCCAGCTACAGCAAATATAAAATTCAATGAATCTCTAAGCAGTGTTGACATGACCCATTTATATCAAGATAAAGCAGAGGAACTTAGACAGCTGTTGATGGAATATGAAGAACTATTCACTGGCAAAGTGAAAATTGCTAAAGTAGGACCTCACCGCATACGACTCAAGCCAAATACGGAAAAAAAGAAACCATATGTTTACCGAATTCCAGAAGCGCTAAAATGCAAAGTAGACGAGCAAATAGAGGAATTTCTGCAACAGGGTCTCATCGAAGAAAGTAATGCAGAGAACGCTTATCCAATAGTGTGTGTTAACAAGAAGGATGGTGTCTAGCGGCTATGTGTCGATTACAGAGCTTTAAATGCAGTAACTGTTTCAGACGATTTTCCAATGGAAGAAACAGCAGAACTAATTAATTCCATAGGTAGTGCAAATATAATTAGTACTCTAGATTTGCTGAAGAGTTATTATGCAGTGCCCATGGACCTAAAGTGCAAAAAACTTACATCCTTTAAAACTCATAGAAATCAGAATCAGCTTAAGATTGTGAGTTTTGGTCTTAAAAATGCATCAGCAACATTTCAGAGAGAAGTGAATAGAGTCTTGTCTCAGTACCGAGTTTTTTCACGTGCCTACATTGATGATATTGCCATATTTTCGGGAAGTTGGAACGAACACATGATTCATCTGAGAATCATTTTGTCTAAGTTACGAGAACTCAACTTTACTGTGAACTTGAGAAAGTGCTCTTTCGTGAAGACTCAGATTAAATATTTGGGTCACATAATAGGTTCAGGCCGACATAAGCCTGATCCTGAGAAAACCAGTGTGATTGAGAACTTGCCACGTCCAAAAACCAAAAGATACCTACGCAGTGTTCTTGGTTTTTGCAATTATTATCGTGACTACATACCTTGTTATTCAGCGCTTGTGTTTATCTTTAACAGAACTTACAAAGAAGAAAGTCGCAGATAACATTCCTTGGACACAAGAACATGATGCGGCTTTTCTTCAACTAAAAAAAGCGTCATTGACTGACTCACTGCTTGTCAACAGTTGACCAGAGACTGTTGTAGATGGGTGGTCAACATCTAGGACATCAATAGCAAGCTTTCTACTTGACAACAGACTGTCACAGGTGGGTGGCACGTAGATGATAGACCGAAACAAGATGGCCATGGCACCTAGTCACCACACACTTCATCGAAAGATTAATTAAGGGTTATAACTGGTAAACAAAAAATCATTTTGAAACGTCGAAGCGTGTAGAACTTCTTTGATAGTTAGGTAACAAAAAATTGAACTTACCTTTTTTCTTACTGCTTCCGAAATATGATTACCAGACCACACTTCTTTTCCAGATTACAACACCACAAATCCAAGTCGGCACAAACATTGGTAGGTTACAATTTAGGTTATAATTTGATTGGTGTAGAACCACAGTTAAAATCGCCGTTTTCGTATTTCGATCGGTTCCTTCCTCTGGCGCCATCTGCCGCTTGAGTTCGAAAGCCCAGCATGGCACCAAGTCACCCCGTATGGAACTTAGTCACCCCGTTTGACGGTATGTATTAATAATGAAAATATTAATCAAGAAAAAATATAATCATTAAAATCTAGTTTATCTGGGATAGTCAACTGAAAGTCGACAATTTCGGAAAAATAAGACTTATCTTAAGACTCCTTTCAGTCTTCAGTTTTGTTCTTTTCGAAAAAAAATTAAGTTTACTTATTTAAATTAATTAAGAGTTTAAAAGAGAAATTCTTATGACTTGCTTTTGTGAAATAATTAGCTTCAAGAAACTATGATACTTACTCTTAGTCCAAAAATAGGTGGAAAAAGATATCAGAACTGCAATAAATTTCGTCAAGAAAAATAAATTAAAAACTCGTAATAAGTTTGCATTATGTGAACAGGAAAGTAATGTCTTTTACGTGCTTTAGATATTAAAATGAATTGAAAACAATAAATTGGTTTTTAAGACTAACGAATATTTACTGAGCTGAAACATCACTTTCCGGTCCACCTAATAAATAAAAATGGTCTTTTCATTATTCTGCAGAGTGGGTATGCTTGCATGGTACTTTTTTCTAAGAATTAATAATTCTTAAAATAATAAAAAAATATGAATTTTTTTTTTATTTCATGGTGTTCCTTTTCCTACACATTCCGTCGCAATTTCAGGTTTCAGAATCTTGCAAAACATTAAAATAAACAATTGTAACAACTGTGGTGACAAAAACTGGACCAATAATTTATGAGGTAGGAGACATTCAAGACATTGAAAAAAGTTTGAATAGCAGAATTAAAATAAGGTAGTTTAAATCCAATTAGAATTATTTCTCAAGAAATACTTTAGTCGTCATTAGGTCATGAAATTTCTCATACTTAAAAAAAAGTTTCAAAGACCAGCAATGAATTACGAACGAAAACAAGTATTTTTGAACACCCTATGCCAAAAAATAAATAAAGCAATTAACTTGAATGATAGATTAAAAAAAGATTGATGATGGATTGATAGATGAAATAAAAGATTTTAATTTGCACTCTATGCATGTGCGGAATAATTTTAGAAATGTTTTTATATATTTATTATATATTAAACAAGTGATTAAGAATTTAATGTATTCTTTAAAAAGTAATGATAATCACGTCTCCACTTCAAACTAATCATCATGTAGATTAGGGAAAAGATATACCACGTGATTGCTATTTATTTTATGGAAGCCAACTCAGAAGACAAGGAAACCCTTAATTTAAGAACTAATTATTTTGTGAAAGGCCTTTAAGAACTGAGTTTGCGTTACTCGAGTGATAATTCTATTGATATTATTCTACTAATTCTATTAATATTATTCTATTAATTTTTCAATGTTATACTATAAAAAAAAATGTACAATTGTAAACTTCAATTTTTTAAAAATTTGTCTACCATATTAAATGTAATGACAATTAAATGAATACCCTTGGACGACTAAACTTTTATTGCTAAATTAAACCCTACGAATGACCTAACTATCTCTAAAGTTATAAAGTAATCTTCTTAGTATTTCTTGAGAAATTAATAAAAATGTCAAAATCTGAAAGCGTCTCTCCCATTATTGTAGGGCATTATTGTTACTCAATAGTTGTATTCTCTGTTGAATAATTACTCGCACAAACATGCGGAAGTAGAGCGTCTATCAATAATTCACAGTAAATCATTCTTATCTCTGAGATAACAATTAACAGCTAACAATTTAAAACTTGCGTCTTGAATTGCAGATGATACTAATTTTTTATAAAATTATTTTTAAAATCTTAAATTTCTTTACTTTTTTCTGATTTATCCCTTTTCATACGAAAATAAGAAAGCTTTTCTCCTTAAAAATCCCTTGCGCCTCCGAAAAATTCCGCAAGTTTCACTCTCTGACTAAAGGAAGAATTAATCAACTATGTCGCTTAAAAGCGAGGTAAATCGGTTTTCCATTAGAAACCCTTTATCGTCTTTGGCATCAATCATTCAGGTACGGGAGAAACTTTTTGGCGAGACCTATAAGACAGCATTTTTCTTAATTTTGCCACTTCGTTTAAATTAAAAGAGGGGAAATAACGTAATCCTCATTAACTTCCTGAATAATTCCATTAGTCTGATTGGTAAAACATGTCTGTCTTGCTTTTGACATCAAACAGTGAGGAAGAATAAAGTTTGGATAAAACGAAAGCGCTGCAAAAAAAAAGTGGGGGAAGGGGGGGGGGACTCATGAAGCTATTCTTCATTTTAGTCGCTAATTGGCTAAAAAACAGTCGCCGATTTTACGCAACTCATTGTAAATTAGTTGTTTTTACTCATATTTCTACTAAAATAGTCGCCCTAGTTGATATTGTTTTAAAATAGTCGATTTAGTCGCCAATGGCAGCCCTATATTCATAACAACAAAGTTCAATATCCAGTGTATTGTTACATACAAAAATTTCTTTTTATTAGAATGTCATATTACAGCTCAAGAATTATAACAAAGTTGATTAAGAAATGCATTAATCCTTATATTATTTAGGGTTTGAGAACACTTAGCCCACCACACATGCGATTCAGGCATAGATTCGCCATCCTCTTTGATGTCATCGTGTTCTGCGTAATCACAGGAACTGAAATAATCCTCATCTTCCGATTCTTCCAGATAAGCCCAAGTTTCAGCCCTTTCACACATAATATCAATATTCCTATCTAATTCCTCGATGCACAAATCTATCCTGTTCATATCAAAACGTTTTAATGGAGTTTCATCAACAGGAAATGAATCAAAAAAATCTCTGAAATACTGAAGGTAGGATCTTTGAAACAAGAAAAGACTTTTTATTTTCATGTACGTTCTACCACCGCTTCTATGATATAAGAATTTTTCAATAGGTGTAATAGCCTCTACCATCAAAAATCCAATTTTTTTCTTCTCTTCGTCGAAGAAATGCAATTGGTATTTATGGGCTATTGCTATTAGAAGGTCTTCTGTACAGCACACTGCAATACTCTTTAAAGCATTAGAAATTGCTTTCCAAAAACTATAAAATTTCCTACGAGGATGAGCATAGAAATTAAAAAGACGTTGGAATTCTTGTATGAAATGCATTAAATATTCGTCTGAATTCTGTTTTTCACAGTCAAAATTATCAATATCCAAAAGAAATCGAGATATAAGCTCACTTGCTTCTTTCAAGTGATGAGTTCTATTCTCTAGGGACTTCAAGATAAATTTATTGATGCTATATTCAGGTTTTTCAGAATTAATTATGTCTTTAAGCCGATTCATAATTAAATCACTATTTAAAGATTTTTTATCCGAATTAAGTTCATTTATGGAGCTAAGCAATTCAAAAAACTCCCAGGCATTGTTACTACTCTTGGTGTCTTTTAAGTGCTGCAGTAGTCTCTCTTTTCTTGGCATATAATAAAAAGGCACCTAAAAAGAAACAAAAAATAGTATAAAAATGACGTCAGTCTAAATTACAGATTTTCTTCGTTGGAGTGGCGTTTTGAAATTTTGTGAAAAATATTTACTTATTTCGAGGAAATAACTAATTTTGTCATAATTTGAGCATGTCAAAAATTAGTTTCTCAAGACTTGATGGCTATAAAAAATGTCGTGATTTTTTAAAATCATAGAAATTTAAAGAAATAGAAAAAAAAAAAAATACTTTTATTGATTAAATACGAAAAATAATAAGAAAAAGAAAGAAAATCGTAGTACACACATTCCTACATAATTGAAAAGAGGAGGAGAGGGAAGGGTAAAAAGCATGGAATTGGTTTTCTCCCCAGATGGCGTAATCGAGCGTTGCTATCGCGAATGCTTACAAAGGCTTTGAAACCTTATAAGCATTAGGAATGTTTAAAATTGTTATGTTTAAATATAATCAATCATCAATGCCTTTACCTATTCACCCTCAAATGTATGAGGATTTTCCAGATGTAGATGGAGCTTGATATTGCGCTTGTCCAGTGGACAATGTATAGTTTGTCTTTGTAAAAAACTGTCCATAGCCATTCGTCTGGAGTGGTGGTGGTGACTATAGTTACAAGGTTCAACTATTTCAAGGGTAAGTTGGGTCGTTATTTAAGACAGTTTTTGAGTCGGGCTGGCAGGAGAAAGAGAATCAAGGAAGAAAGAAGCTCCCCTCTTTAAAATGCACTATTTCTTGTCTCCATAGCAGCAGACAGCCTTAGACTTCGTGGCGAGGGGAGTTCTTTCATAAACAAACTATATAAGTGAAATTTGATCGCTTGAATATGAGACAATTTTACTTGCACGACAAGCACAAACATTGAATTTTTTTTCTTCTGTCACTTACTGATCTTTATTATCCAATATTATACCTTTCCAGCCAGTCCAATATATTTTAAATTTAATAAAAACTGTTGTTTTAACAGCTTATCTCAAAAAGAACAAATTATCAAAAGAGAGAAATATAATAAATAATATAAAAATGCTTTGCAAAGCCAGTTTGTGTTTTACTATTTTCTCAAGATTTAAAAATTATGGATGAATTTTAATTCTCATTTAAGTAGAAAACGTTTTTTTTCCTTTTTTTTCTGAAAATATAGTAATTAAATAGTGTACTATTGGCAAGTGAATGAATTTTACGATGGGTACTATAGTTAAACACACATAGCTATTTTTAATAAAGTTTCACTTAGTGGGTATTTTTGTATATCTCTATTTTTATAACACTGTTTTTTGAATGAAAAATTATTTTAAGTTCGTTTGTGAAATAAAAATAAAACTAAATTCATTATTTACGAACGTGAAATTACAGAAATAAAAAAAGAATTAACAATTCTCTAACTAAAGTTGTAGGGTGATTTCTTTTATTGTTAATTTAATGAAAATAATAATAATAAAAATTATACTAATATAATATTAATTAAATCATAAAATAATTGAGCATTTTGAATTTTTATTTCAGAATATTCTATTTTAAACTATTTTTTCCTGAAACTGCCTTTCAGCAAAATATTTTGCATTTTTAAATTTGCAATTTAACTAGAAATAAGTTTTAAAATAGCTGATGTTTGCCCTCACATAAGAAGAATTATTATGCATAATGATGTTGCTGTAAGATCCTAAATATTACTAGAGATACTTCTAAGAAAATATATCGGCATTTAAGAAACTTACTTGACTCCATAAAAATCATGATTTAGAAATGCAAATAAGATAAGCAGCGAAATAAGGAATCACCAAATAGCAACCTTTTTCAGAATTAGAGGAAGGAAGATTTGTCATCGTTGTTGTAGCTTATCCTCCAAATGTCTGACGAAGTCAGACAAGGTCCATCAGACCGTTGACCCTAAGGAAATCGAGGACCAGAAGGGGGGATACGTTTAAGACATTAATTAGGCCCATCTTAGAGTATGGTTTCCCTGTTTACAACTGTGCCTCAGTCACCAACTTGGGTAATTGTAGAAAGTTCAACTCAGTGCTGCTAGAATTATTATTGGACTAAGACGCAGCTGTGCGAGAGAAGTAGTTCTCTATGAGGCTAATTTGCAACCTCTCCAAACTAGAAGAAAGGCCAACCTTACCAAATATTATAACAAACTTTCTAGCAACGGTCAGCATAATAGAACCCAAGTGGAAATACAATCAAAGACTTAAGAAAAACAGCTTCTTCAGTCAGGCTAAGCTTCTGTGTTTGCCTTATGATGAAATTGAGGCCCACTCCTTAAAATCTTGTCTGAATCCCTCAGAAGGACTCCCAAAAGTTTATTTCCACTTCGATTTTACTATCCCGATCACCAAGAGGGTCTTCATTCCAGCTCATCTCTGACAGTTGGCTTGATAAAAAAGATCTCCGACAATACCATAAAACTTTTTTACGGGCGGCATTTTACTGGACGACCACGCAGGCAGTGGCATCTACACTGAGAAACCAGCAGTGTTAAATAATGACTAAAATTTATGTTTGAAGTTATATCAATAGATGGCGCTGTGCTAATTATTTTCTTTCTCATATTTGTTATATTTTTATTCTCTCTCGTACTGTCTATGTTGAATAAACGTTCGTTTCTCAGTAGTCATATTTATTTTGGATATTCAAATATCTTTAGAGTGCAAATTTGATATGTTGCCGAAATCCCCGGAATAGGGGACTTTTTATGGAATTGAAAATGTTTGGAAGAATACTTGGATAAATTAATTTAGGACTATGGCTACGAAAGAAATGGCAGGGAATCAAAAAATGAAACGAACTGTGGTTAGACAGCTAACTACTAAATTAATATCGAAAATAGAAGCGAGTTTGGCAGATGAATCGCGGGATGCTGAAAAAGCAGAACTTTTATTGGATTTAAGTGAGCAATTAAATGCGAAAATGATGGAATTAAAACAATTGGATGAAAAACTGGAATACACTGTTGCTGAACAGGAGTTCGAAAACGAAATAACCACCTGCCAAGAATATCAAGAAAAAATAGTGACATGGAAAGGTAGGATTCAGAGATTTTTAAATCTATATTCTTCTAATTCAAAAATTAATATCGAAAGTGATAGAAACGAAACTGCTGTTGTTAAAACTGAATCAAAAATAATGAATCTACACTCGTCAGCAAATAGGAACATTTTACGGAGATTCTACCAAATGGTAATAAAGTTTCACTTAGTGGGTATTTTTGTATATCTCTATTTTTATAACACTGTTTTTTGAATGAAAAATTATTTTAAGTTCTTTTGTGAAAAAAAAAAAAACTAAATTCATTATTTACGAACGTGAAATTACAGAAATAAAAAAAGAATTAACAATTCGCTAATTAAAGTTGTAGGGTGATTTCATTTATTGTGAATTTAATGAAAATAATGTTAATAAAAATAATATTAATATTATATTAATTAAATTATAAAATAATTAAGAATTTTACATTTTTATTTTAGAATTTTCTATTTTTTCCTGAAACTGCTTTCCAGCAAAATTTATTGGAATAGTAAATTTGCAATTTAAGTAGAGAAAAGTTTTAAAATAGCTGATGTTTACCATCACATTAAAATAAAACTATTATGCATAATGATGTTGCTGTAAGACCCTAAATATTACTAGAGATATTTCTAATAAAATATATCAGTATTTAAGAAATTACTTGACTCCATAAAAATCATGATTTAGAAATGCAAATAAAACAAGAGGCGAAATAAGGAATAACCAAATAGCAACCTTTCACAGAATTAGAGGAGGGAAGATTTGTCATCGTTGTTGTAGCTCCAAATGTCTGACGAAATAAAACAAGGTCCATCAGACCGTTGACCCTAAGGAAATCGAGGACCAGAAGGGGGGACACTAATTAGGCCCATCTTAGAGTATGGTCACCAACTTGGGTAAATTGGAGATTGTTTAACTGAGTGCTGCTAGAATTATTACTAGAATCTAAGACGCAGCTGTCCGAGAGTTCTCTATGAGGCTAACCTCTCCAAACTAGAAGAATATTATAACAAACTTTGAAGCTATAGTCAGCATGAAAGAACCCAACTGGAATAACAATCAAAGACTTAACAGCTTCTTCAGTCAGGCTAAGCTTCTGTGTTTGCCTTATAATGAAATTGAGTCTTAAAATCTTCCCTCAATTCAACTTCGATTCCCGTTCACCGGTTCCAGCTCATCTCTGACAGTTGGCTTCATAAAAAAGATACCCGACATAAAAAAATTTTACGGACAGCAGTAAACTGGACGCAGGCATCTACAGTGAGAAACCATCAGGTCTTCAAAAGTGAATTAATAGCAATTGAACAAGGCCTTGAAGCTGACTAATTTTTCACCGTTTTATCATTAATAATCTAAAATTAGGTTTTATGTCGGAAAGTTAAATTGCCAGTTCTTATGCTTTTTTTTTCTTTTCTTCCAGAAGTGGACACGTACCTAGGTTCGCAAACCCTTAACCGTATAGTCCACGTCTGGACGACAGTCTAGCTCGCACAAAACTCGGCACATTAGTAAACCATTACAAAATTCATAACTGCACCACCACAATTACAAAGCACAATTGTCCAATACAGATGGCAATAATGCGTATCACATTAGTTAAATTTATTAAAAAAAAAAAATTTTAACAAAAATATTTGAAGCAAAGAGAACAATAAATGAAGCGAATTTTGTGTTATATACATAATAATTGAAAAAAAAGAAGCAAAAAGAAAACAAATAAAGAAAATGTAGACGAGGACGAAATGTATAATGAAGGACAAAATCAAAAACTGTTAAACACTTTCAAGATTACTTAAAAAGTCAGGTTTAATTAAAATTTCAATAAAGAGTCGTTTTCTGCTAGAAAATTCATTACGTTAATTAATTTAGAGTTTAATGTTTTATTTGTAAGAAAGTTTTTTTGCCAAATATGTAAATTATTAATGTTTGAAAGTCGTGTATGCCATGATATTGTGTAAAGACAAGTTGATAAGTAATGCTCTGGTGTACC